TCCGACGAACTGATAACCTCCTCCTTTTTTGGAAGTCGGTTAAAAAAGGCGTAACTGTTTGTGAATAACCACCTTAACTTTTATTGTCTTACTCTGTTTTTGCCTGAAAAAATTTATGAGTATAAGCGTGGCTTTCTATTATAATATTATCCCTCCGAATTTTCCAGAATGTCACTTTTTTTTTTAATTTAGCCGTGATATTAACATACATTATTTGTTTTGCAGTTAAGAAGCGCAAAAGTTATTGATTGAATGACATAAGAAATAACCAAATAAAAGTAATTATTTTGTGTTTTTGGGTGAATCTTTAGAGCCTGCAGACATGGGAATGCAATATGTTTCGAAACGGCTATCAAATTGAGAAATTTCACAAAGCAGTTGCTTGAGCAGTCACGCCTTGCAAGTAAAGTGTCTTTCGAAAAAGTTTTTTTTTTGATTTCCGAAAGGCGAATTGCAGATTGCTAGTGCAGCACGAGCAAGTTGAAATATACTTCCGAAATCGATTTGCGCTCTCTCGATTGTAGTCACATCTAGCAACTTTTGTTTCTGAAACTGATTTCCGAAATGTGACAGAAAGGTCTTTCTGGCGGTTCACACATCGAAATAAAATTTCTGTTTCTCAATTTGACAGAGAATTGCGCGGACGCTCTTATCATTGCACCATGGTAAGTAAGGCTAAATCGTCACTACACACGAATAAAGGCGCGCGCTAGTGTTTTGACGGCGAAAGAAGGCGCGTAAAAAAATTTTGCGAAAAAAGATGCTTATGAAAAACTTCGGCGAAGTATGTTAAAAGTCTTTGTTTATTGCTTCAGGAGGTTCAATAATTTCTTTGTTATATATTTTGGGGAAATAAGACTCTGAAATATTTCCAGAATGTCACTTTTAGGTGAAAAGGGATTTTTTATTTAAATAGCTTTTTTCTACAAAAGTTTTCAAATAGCATAAGTGGGAAGTTGTTGCCGAAGAAAGATTAACAAAAAGCCTGCCTCCAAAGAAAAACTATGACATGAAAACATGAAAAAAGGTCATGAAGAAGGTGGAAAATATAATAAACATTCGCTTATCTGATAAAGGAGTTTTAAAGTGATATGCAAAGGTTTAAAAATCATAAATTTTATGTTAAAAATCAGTACAATGCTCGTCGGTTAATATACTTTTCACTAACACTTGCTAAACTTATTTATTTTGTCAGCTTACTTTTAAAAAAGTGACATTCTGGAAAATATTTTACAAAAATGTAAATTAAGAAAAAAAATCAATTTTTGAAGAGCCTGAAAGCAGTTTCGTATTCTGCACAAATTTTCACGTCAATAAACGTTTTCCAAGGATAAATCTATCAATCTTAAAAAAAATAAATAAAAAATATCTGCCATGTACACTTTGTTTGGAAGGGACCCAGATACATACAAATTTTCATAAAACGATACTTCAATGATAACACAGGGCGAATCTGATTTTGGTGCGGCAAATGTTAAAGCTGTTTTTAATGGACTTTTTTGTGCTGATTACGAATCCGTAAGTTCAAAGTTTCTCCCTCATTTCGAGATTTTGAGATAAACGAGGCCAAAGTGTCAAATAATCGCGTTTTTTACAATATGTATATGAAAAGCTCTAGCAAAGAGACAAAAGGTGATGGAACCTTCCACCTAGGCTTAAATAAAAGCTATAACTCTCGACTGCTAAACCTGAAAATACCATCTCTGCACCTTGACCTTAAGGTTTATTGCATTTAGGGCCGTTTTCACCAACTCTGGTTAATACTAATCCCCAGTTAAACATCGTTACCGACATTAATGACTCCATGCATATTATATTGTATCGGT